TGAAGTTGACAGTGATAATGATGATGACACTAGGCCTATAGACATTGGATTGGTTTGGATTTATTCGGTGTAAACACCTAGGATAGCCCACGAAAGTCTAGAAGAAGACTTATTTCCAGTGGGGTCCTTCTGGTGGTGATTGGACAGTACACCGGGAGACAATCCCCTACTCTATTTCCGAAGAGTGTACTGCGATCTTTAACGTGCACATAGGCCATAAATGCACAAGGGGCCAACGGCTTAAGCGTCTCATCCGAAAGACGGTGCGCCATGTAACTTGTATTTCAGCCCTCTAGCTGAAACACAAGGAGGGGCAGCGATGGGAATTGAACCCAGGACCTAGAGATCTCCACGGTTCAGCGCACACACAGTGGCTACCACCAGATTAGTCGATTGAGCTAAGCTGCAGCTCTCTCTCATGGATTTTCCATGGTTTAAGTATGAACACACTAATGTAGACTAAAGTAAAAGAGTCACCCCTGACCGCAAAGGGTCGCTTGTCAGTGTGCAGGAACAAACGCCCTGGCAAAAATAGAGAATTTGATGACGTTAGCGTCACAGACGTACGGGACGAACATTCACATTGCAAAGGTTTCTATTGCTTTATATACACACCGTAACACCTTGAATTGAAGCTGGGGCTTCCTTATAACTCTATAGCCTTCTGTTAATTAATTTTGTATCTCAAGCTGGCCGTAATATTTATATAGCCCTAGGCCTACCTATTGACTATATTATTGATAAAGAAGAACAGGAAACATAAATGCAATTTGGCCTGTTATGAAAATCTCTATTAGTTTTACGCAAATTGACTCTTTTATCAAAGATTGCTCTTGCGTAATAATGGTATCGAGTTCATAAGCATGTATGCTTTTAAGCAAACAGAGACTATTGATTACATAACAATTGTGAAATGGGGAAGCAATACCAACAACCATTACGTTCCGGCTCACATTCCGGTCATGATTGATCAATTTACTTTTTTATTGCATTTGTTTGTAAAAAAACAGAAAAAAACCAAACCACGCGACAGTCGCACAATACGATGCCATGGGTAATGCAACGCAATAAGGCAGGCTCAACGGAGTGTTTGCATTGGTCATTTGCTCAGACTGTTAGACAATCGGCGGACGGCATCGCGCCGTCGATTACTCACAAAGAGTGAACATGGGTCTGTCAGCAGACAGTCGGACAATCGAAGCTTCTGATTTAGTATGGTATGTTGGTGAGCATTCTCTTCAGGGGTGGCGCCAGCGTGGGGGTGGATTCCCCCCGTCGGGGAATGCTGCTCCCCCCACCCCACTGTTGAGGAGAAAAACCACAATTCGTCGGAAAGAATAAAAAATATATGTATTTTGTTCATATCAGTAGACTCTAAAATCAATTAAATAAGCCTTTGATATCCCTAAATTGTCAAAATTTTCGGGGGATTCACCCCCTGGACCGCTTTCGAAACATTTAAATCTACGCTCGACCACGCCCACTTTGCTCTCGTCAGGGACCCTGCACTCCAAGTCGGGGAACTCTGGCGCCAGCCCCGATTCTCTTCAATGCCAAAAATATGTTTAATGCTGTAAAATGAGAAATCTAATTAGTTAAGGCTTATACTGTAGGTCTATGAGTGGGCAGATACATAATGTCATTTTACAAGGCACACATAGGGCCTACACTTTTATTTTTTATAAGAACCAGTAAAATTTTGCCCAGGCTCAGTGTTCTTATTTTTCGGCCGATTTCAGGCTCAAAATGTTCTTAATTTGTTCTTATTTACACACTTTTCAAACATAGAAAAATATTATTGTACAGCAAAAATGGGCCCTGAAAAAAATGCCCTGGAAAAATTGCCCCAGAAAAAAGGCCTGGTAAAAATGGCCCCAAATGACAGTACACCTAATTATAGGGAGTATTACATAGTCACACCCACAATACTGTACATAAGGTACAGATATAATTTTTTGCTTTTTCAAAAACCTCATTCGACATTTTATCTCAGCCTCAATTTGTTCTTATTTTGTTTTTAATTTTTAAGCAATTTCAGCCTCGGTGTTCTTAAAAAGTAGTAAAAAAAAAGTGTATCCGTCTTCAGAGAGCTGCTCGGCACAATATTCAATTGCAAAGGGCACAATCACCACCATCAGCTCTTTTGCAGCGTGACCAAGTCGTCGTCCAATATTTTGTAGACTCTATTGTAAAATTGTTTTTATGATATTTTATCATAAATAAGGAGCTCAAAATATGCCAGTAATAATAAGACATTAATAAAACATGTCCATTAAAATATTACTAACACCACTCATAATCGTTACTAAAAATACACAAAACACCATCTTGTGATGTACATTGACTAATATTTTTGTTTTAAGCCCTATGCCAAAATTTATTACAGAAATGATAGTCCCAGAGGCACATCTATCATATTTTTAGACAGGTGACACCGAAAGTCATCAACATTCCATAAATGGTTTTTCTTACCATAAGATTTGGTATCTTTTTAGGAGTAGGGGGTAATGTCTGCCCTTAGTTATGGCTTTAATATTTGTCAAAATAGAAAATCAATAAATAGGGCACAACGTCATATCCAGTTTACATGGGCGTCGATCGGTGGGGACACGTCCCCCCCCCACTTAAGTAGGGGGACATCATATCGATTGTCCTCCCTACTTTTCACCAATCTTCTATAATTAAAACCCCACTTTTAAAAGCGAATGGACAGAATAACAATTACGCATGACTCATGAATCTTGTCTGTTCAGTTTTCCAAGTGCGGTACGTATTTTGCGGACCAAAACCGAGTAAAAACACAATTTTTTATACATTTCGTAACCATCACAGAAACCACTAGATCGATTTTATGGGTGCAGCGGTTATCAGAGGCTAAATTTATTGAGAAAACAATGTACTGAACGTTGTTAAAATTGGAAGCGTGTATGCTTATTAGGCCAATATTTTTTATAGTAGCACAATTTCTACTATAAACGATTTATTCCTTTTGTATATTATTATGACCCATACGTATATACTAGTGTTTAATATTATCTACATACATAGGATTATTGTTTTTCCTAATTTCAAAAAAATATAGTTAGTTAATTGAATTTTATATAGCCATTATTAAATAATAATTATACAGCCTTTGACACAGATATGTCTATCTATTTCGATTTAGTGATACCAACATTTTACAAACTCCAGTGTTACGTTGACGCAATCTCGCAATGACGTGATAATTAATCAGTGGCGGATTCAAGTGGGGCTGAGCCGACCCTAAATTTTTCAAAATTATTTTTTTTTAATGGAAAAAACAAAGGAAAATTATAATTAGAATTTAGGTCTGAGAGTGCCATTTCCGGCAATCTGGAGGTGTCATAATCATAAATTTTCTTTCCTCAGCCCCAACCATGGTGGGGCTGGAGGGATCTACTCTCCCAAATTCAGGAAGTCCCTCCCTGTCCCCCCTCCATTTTGCTTTCCTCCATGAGCCGCCACTGATAATGATAAATTAAGTAAATCACGTTTATGTTTGTGAAATCAAAATGCTAACTAATGTTTTGTGTGCTCCCTATCTCCATAGTCCTGTTTGATCGTAAATTAGACGGTATTATTTCCACTCACAATAGTGT